TTTTATGTTTGTTACTCTCTTGTAACGCCTCTTATCTTCTGGCACTCATATGACTTTATGCAGTTGCTAGCGCCGTAAAACTCTACTAAAACACACAAAAACAAGCTTTTACGAATGCAGTTCTTTGAAATCTTGATAACGATTCCTTATAGTCTTACGATTTTGACTGAGCAGTTAGAAAATAATTTGGTTTCTGACCTCGTAGTCTTAGTTGCTCGAAACTGCCAAACATGTCAAATAGAACTTTTAAAAAAATAGTAGAGGGTTTTACGGCGCTCGCAACTGCATAAGGTCATATGAGCGCCAATGGGTGGGTGTCAACAGAGAAGTCTTTGCAGGGAATCAGACTTAGACTGCTCACCTCTTGAGCTTCAACAGCACAAGGTCTGCTTCGACTATCAAGGCACCCCGGAAATAGCATATCACAATAAGAGAGTGACAAACATACAAAAGAAGTAGAGGAAAATGACAATAGTAAGGGTCAGGAAAGAAAAAGCAGCAGTTCCCTGTTGTAAATCAGGCACAGTTATGAGCGTGACATGAGTCAGCCCATTTACAATTCTACTATGCTTGAACGAGAAATGTCCCTCCTTTGGGAATGCCTAAAGACACTACAGTCAGTGGCACTGCCTCGGGGGAGTAATAATAATATAATGATGATAATCACAGCAACAATAATAATAGTAATAATAGTAATAATAGTAATAATAATAATTATTATTATTATTATTATTAGTATTAGTATTTCATTATTATTACTATTATTATTATTATTATTATTATTATTATTATTATTATTTTTACAATAACAATAATATTCCACGACTTAATCCTGGAGCCAAACGATAAGACATGCGTCTGTTAACCTGCTTATCGCCTCTATCTTATTAGAAATGAAGCTGGTTAGTAGTCTGAGGTAATGATATTGCGTTGACGAGCGCCTGATTTCACCATGACGCCTCACAATTAAACCACACCTGAACAACAGCCAACTCCTGTGGGTTGAGAAGGCCCTTGATGGTGACGAAGCCATCTCGGTCAAACGCCGCCTTCATGTCCTCCGTCACCTCCAGCTCCTGGCCCCCGTACGTGTACTCGTTCAAGCCTGGCATGCTGGCTTTCGGGTGGGTCTGGCAGAATATAAAACGCAACAACTGAGAACGAAAAGTAACAGATACACTCTAATCTAATCCATAGAGTTATCTCCTTTTAAACTAGAGTCCGTACGAGGTCACGTGACACGGAAACATTTGAGTTTGTTGGCGGCCATGTTTCAGTGGGCGAAAACATTTGTTTACATGTGACTGGGCGTGTCTCTGCTCTTACGTGTTTGATTTGATTCTAACGTTATGTTTTAATCCAAAGTGATTCTCTTAAAAGTGCAAGCATGTGAAACCTCTAGATCTAGTCCCTTTCTGGATTAACGTCTTATTGGCTCCAATCGTGTATACGTTAGATCTAGATCTATATACACAGCCGCTTGGAGCTGTGATTAGAAAGCACAGTTGGGTATGAATTATCACATGTACGCAGATGATGCACAGTTGTATAAATCTGTTCCACCACCAGATGTTAAAACCTTGCCTGCTACCATGGGTATGTGCATTGATGATGTCAAGAACTGGATGATTGATAATAAGCTCCAGCTTAATGAAAATATACTGAAACTCGTTTATGTAACCCAAAGAAAAGCCATATCCCCAAAGACGTCGAGATCTACATATCTAGATCTCTAGATCTAGATCAGGTTTGTACGATGTGTAAGCGTGTGCGTGTGATGTGAGTGTGTGTGTGTGTGTGTGTGTGTGCGTGCGCGCGCGTGCGTGTGTGTGTATGAATGTGTGTGTGTACGTGTGTGTGTATGTGTGTGTATATGCGTGTGTGTGTGTGCATATGTGACTACTGTTCATACATGCATTTATGTGGATTCTAAAGCACCTAGAGCTGTGTTTGTAGGCGCTATAGAAATGATCTGCATTATGTTTATTATTATTATTATCATTAGTAGTAGTAGTAGTAGTAGTAGTAGTAGTAGTAGTAGTAGTAGTAGTAGTAGTAGTAGTAGTAGTAGTAGTAGTAGTAGTAGTAGTAGTAGTAGTAGTAGTAGTAGTAGTAGTAGTAGTAGTAGTAGTAGGAGGAGGAGGAGGAGGAGGAGGAGGAGGAGGAGGAGGAGGAGGAGGAGGAG